TCGTTAATTATATCTGTCGAAAACTAACTATATGTCATACTAATCTGATTAAGACGATAGGAACGAGTATCATAATTTTGGATTTAATTAAAGAGGTAGAAATTTATTGCGAGATTACAATTGAGAGAAATACCACGAAAATGTATCGTCACGCTTCTGACGTCCACAATTCGATTTTATTATATTTTCTATGTGATTTATTATTTCACAATGATATGTATGGCTACTATATTTCAGCATGAGCATTGTGAAAGAATCTAGAACCGTTGATTAGAATTGATTCAGATTTCACTTGGACGTTGTTTTCTCTTGAAACTATATAAATATCTCGTTCGAAAGTTATATTTATAATTAGCAAAAGAAATACGTAATGTAAGTGGTAAAAGCACAACTATTATTATATCATGAATTACGTTATTTTCTGACGTTGCGACATGTTTAAATTTGATATTATACACACTGAGCGAAAATTACCATTTCCATTCTTATATGCATAAGAATGAAATCTTATGCAAGAATTTATCATGATTCAGTACTTTATGAAATTTATATACTTTATGAAATTTATAACTACTCAAAAATAAAAAGATTTCGACAAGTTTTCAATTTCGTGGAATTTTCCAAGTTTTCGGAATTGAAGATTTTCTTCGGAAGATTTTTTTGGAAAATTTTCGAAAGCGACAAAAATATGTTATCTAAACGTGATTAAAATCGATTCTGAAAAACACTTCAAGTTATTAATATCATATCTCTGAACATTAGTTCTTTTTTTACATTTAATCACTGGAATTCTGTCTGAAATATATTATACATATAAGGAATTCTTTTGAGGAGAAGCCAGAACTCTACCAATTATATGAAAATTCTGAAAATGGAGTGCTAACTTAACAGAAGTAGAAGTAAGAATTGGAAGGGAAAAGAAAAATGGAAAGATTTCCTGAGGTCAGCGTCTTGAAATCGAAATACGTCTCCCGACTAGCGAGCTTCGAACGTAACAGCTTGTCGATATGGTCAGCTGCGTTCCAACAATGTCCCAGCGCTATATATAGTTCTCAAAGTTTATCTACTTCTTGCTTTTATAGAATTTAGTTTGTATATCAATTTTGCAAAGACATATTGTATATAATAAGAAAAACGAAAGACTATAATTATTATTATTAGATACCCTATTATTATTACGGGAGGAGGAGCCTTACGTAAAAATATCTGATGCTTATTTATCAACTTCAGAGACATTTATATGACGAGAACTTGTTTAATCATTATACAAAAGTATCGGTATAAATTTGATGGACCGCGGTTTCCCAGCATAATAATTTTTAGTTATTCTAACTTATACATACGTATAGAAATAAAAATAATTTAAACTGAAATATGACAACGATAAAAAACCTAGAAATGATTGTATATTCCCGTGCAATGTTTAGCAGTTAATCGACAATATTTTATAATCAAAATTTAATTCATTTCACGAATAATCCTTCAATTTATATGACAGAAAAGATATAAAATGGCATAAAGTTAAAAGTAATAAATATGATGAGAACGTCTCCCCTCTGCGGCAATATCTTTGTGTTCGAAATGCAATTATCTACTCGTCCGGGAAATTCTATCGCTTTCTAATATCCAGGCACTCGCAACAGACGACGAGTGCTTCGAACAACAGCGAGTATCGGGTTTTTCATCCCGTGTGCCGTTGGAACCCCGAGCGGAAACTGTAATCACCATCTTTTCATTGCCCTATACATCCAACGTTCATCCTTTTTTCATTGTGAATCCACGTAAATCTGCGGTAACAGCGATAAACCTGCAAAGCTGCGAACGTCCAACATTTATTATTGCTCTCGCGTGTGAAGTTTGATATCCCGGGCGTACGCGTACATATGCGCGATTGCGCGCCAGTGAATATACAGATAAATGCAAAGGGCGACGCTACTGTTCCTGGTGGTGGTTTGCTGTTAGTGCGTAGGGGATGGGTAGACGTTGGGGTTGCGGCGGACCCGGTGGGAGGTGGGAGAGGAGGTTGGGAGAGTGAGAGACGGGGCGGGTAGGGGAGAAGGGGGGGGGGGTGGGGCGTGCGCCCTGCACCTCATAAACTTAAACCCTAATTAACCAGCGCTACGACTACTGTTGCGCCCTACGTGCGTATGGTTCTCGTTCATACACACGGACGCACTTGGACGCTTTTCTCTCTGTCTCTCTCTCTCGCGTAGACTTGCTGCGTATACGTGTGTATGCATGTATTCGGTGGTATTCTCTAGTGAGAGACGCGATGTTTATTGCCCGACTTCACGTAAATTAGCTCCGCCCGCGAAACTATCCAGTGGGTTCCGTTCGCGGTGAAGCCATAACCGTTGTTTCCGAAGACGAGTCAGGTGCTCGAATTTTCGCTCTACATGCTCCGACATGGATCCGACATCCTTGAGAGGATAAGTTTCAATTATTCCATTCAATATTCGAAAGGCACTAGTTTAGCTCTACACGTGTACGAAGAAATGTACGAACGTCAAAGTTTTCAACATTTGCTACGGGAAATAATCGCTTAAGCGTTACTTGTAGTTGGAAAAACTACTTCGCTGCCGCGTGAGAATGTTAAAGCCTGATCTACAATGTGCTCTTTGCGTCCAAAAACACTCCAGTTTGCACCCAATTAAATACGTTTAAGAAATTTGTGCGAGTTGATAAATTGTATGTTGTATGATGTACAAAAATCGTGCATTTTGAAATTTTTTAAGCGTTTTGAATTGCTCATATAAAATAGAATGTGTCTAGATGCAAAGAGCGCATTGCAGACTTTATTGAAGTCCGCATATTCGAGTCTGCAAATAATCTTACGCATCTCGCGCGTACATGACGGAACGTCAGCTTGGCGGAAATCATGGTCTCTTCTTGGAATTCAAAGTGTGTACGTTTGTACAGACGGATTCACGACACGTCAAAGTTCTCTTGTTAACATTACAGTGTTACATCGCTAACAATCGGACGAATAAAGCAGCGAAAATTTACGATCGTATCATAATTTTTCTTTTCTTTACTTTACTTGTCGCGCACTTTACTTGTGACATAATTTTCCTTTTCTTTTCTTTACTTGTCACACACGAAACATACACATACACGTACACACGTGCACAAACCCGCGTTTTATGCATTACAATTTTTATATAAAAAATATAAGTTCTTGTTCTTTTATTATGTAAAACTTGCGAGAACTCTTGCCACCAATTATGTATAATAAGTCTTTGTGTGAGGATTACGTGTGTCTGTTGTTACATTATAATACAATAATGAGGTACTTCTCGCAATAAAATCTTTAGAATTTGTTTCTAAAAGATGCTTTTCAAGCGTTATTATCGAACCGATATTATCAATTTAATTGGGTATACTATTTCGACTTGACGCAGAAAAAAGTGTCAGATCAACTCTTGTGTACTCAGATTAATGCGTTCATTGTTTTGTATTTACGCAACAATCTACAATCTTTTCAGAAGCATTTAATAATTTCACATTCCAACAATATTACAGTCTCATTTAAATACTATAATTGTCAAGTATACATACAATTACTTTGACAATAAAATTATTTTAATTATTATAACCCATTTGAAAATATATCATTTTTTATTCAATATTGTTTCCTTTCCATTCGATATGATTCTTAAGTAACAAGCAGGATTGGGACAGTTACTTTATAAAAGTATCTAGTTATAGTTAGAAGTTACAAATTCTGAAAAGTAACGAATCGTTACTTTGCAGTTACTTTCTTGCAATGAAAATAAAAATATTAAATCTGCATTTTAATTGTAAAGCGTTAATAAAGGGTTTATGCGCAAATGCAAGGCATAATGCAATTTGTGGAGGTTTAAAAAATATATAAAGTAACTATTGATGTAACTGAGTTAAGTTGCAGTTACAGATGGAGAGAAAGTTAAGTTAAAGTTACCAAAAAAAGTGACTGTAACTTCGTTACAAGTAACGAGTCACTTCCCAGCCCTAATAACAAGCATATATTTTTCTTGATTGAATTATATAAAATTGTTCCATTCAAGTAGGTTTTTCTTTCTTTAACGCAATATAATCTCGTTTCAAGATTTTCACGTTGAAACTAAACATATTTTCAGAAGAAGAATATTCTTTTTTCTGTGCAGTTTCCGACTACATTTCAAGACCGAAAGTTATCGGCGCGCAGTTTGCTGTGTTGAAAAAAGATATTTGGGCAAAAATATTAGACACTAATAGTAAGATCGTATTGCTGTTATTTGTGTTAAAGTATCATTAAGTTGCTTTATTTGCGTGTTATGTTTCCCCGTATTTTTCTATATGTATAACGGGATTTTCTCACGCGATATTAAAATTTTGTAAAAATAATCTTACTCGCTTATGCACTTAATATTTCTGTTATCGTGTTTATTAAGTCGGTATAAATTATACGGAAATATTACGTGCGTTAAAAATATTAATAAGATCCTTGTCGGCGATTTATTAATCCGTTAAATCTCCCTCGGAAAAGTTACGCTGACGCATTAACGAGACTCGTCCTCTTTCTCGCTTTGGAAAATTTTTCCCAGCCCGAACAATCTTGCAAATGAAAGTAATTGTTGCTGCGCGTAATACGAAATTTCATCAGAGATTACCACGTCGCACATACCCGCCTTACGTGCGTGTACGTCCGAGATGACGCAGGCGCGCGCGGTATCACGCGTACGGAAACCATTCGCGTAGACAAGAGGCGCACGTCAGAAATAATTCTCGCCGATATCGGAGCAAGTGCGTAGGATCTCACGTACATACAGCCCGGCGGTAATAAAGTCGCGTGCGGGGAAATTATTGCGCGAGGAATTTATCAAGAAAATCACTGTGCAGACACAACACTCTCGGAGTCACGCACGCTCTCGGGTGTCGCGCGCGCGCTCTCTCTCTCTCTTTTCCCGTCCCGCTTTCACTACGTCACGGCTTCACCGCGACGCGGCGGCGTCTCGGCGGATGTCTTAAAAAAAAGATACCTTTTCGTGCGCGCGGACGACACCGCGTTACCCAGGACACCGTCGGCGTTCCCTCGCACGGGATTTCAAACGCGTCGGAATGATTGACGCGTGACGTAGGCGTAATCCGTCGGACGCTCGGGCCGGAGCAGCCGTCGGGTCTGCGCATGCGGCGCCACGCCAATATGGCGACTCCTGCGCCCAGTCGACGGGCCGGGGACGGGCGAGAGCGTCGCGGGATGGGAGTGCTGGCGGCGGCCGTGCCACCGCGATGGAGCGTGGTCGATGCCGCCGGCGGGCGCGAGCGCGCGGGCCGCCGCCGCCAGGCGGCGGCGCGGTCGCCCCGCCGGTGACAGCCGCGACGACGGGGAGTGGCGAGGGCCGTTCAACATGGCCGGCGTGTCTCGGGACCTGTCTCGCGCGGCCACACGACTGTGCCAATTTTCTCATCCTTTTCCCGCGGTGATCCCGGACGACCGTCGGCGCGTCGTCGCGATGCCACCGGCCGTGCACCGGCGGAGTTACGTGAGCCGTCGAACGGCCGCGCGGACGCCCGAGCGGAACCGCGAGACGCAACAGCTGTAGCCATCTTACCAGAGATCTCACGCCTACGTACGTATTCGCGCGCGCGTATGTGCGCGCGTAGCCGCGCTGCCGGCGTGTTAGTGCGAAACGGAGGATGTATCGTCCACGGGGCTCGGATCGGGATCGAATGAATCGCTTAATTAGCGGCGCGAAGTACGATCGAGCTCGCCCCCCCCCCCCCGAGTCTCGCGACTCGGCCGCGCGGGAGATCGGCGCATTTTCGATGGTTCTTGCAGCGCGACACGCGGAGCGATTGAAATTATTTTCGGCGGGGGATTTTTTCTTTCTTTCTTTCTTCCTTTTCTTTTTTTCGTTACGCATCAGCTATTGCGCGGGCGTGCGGAAGCTTTAGCGGAAAAGTGCTCGTGGGAAAAATTTATAATTCCGCGATTTGCATTTCATACGTAATCTCGTATAGTAACAACCATTAGCTTTTTCTTCCTCGCGGATTATGTCCACAATTTGTGTACGTGCCCCGGCATTTTAATTGCGTGGTTATCGTCGCGCTTTCTTAAATTTCTTAATGTAAATGGAGACCCGGTTTTATTTGGACACGCGGAATCGAGGTAAACACGGCGGCCGGCCTGTGCTTACGCAATTTAATCGTCCCCTCTTCTCCCCCGAACCCCTACGGGATATTGGTAGGCTCGACGCCGCGCGAACTAGGCGAGTCGGGTCTCTCGTGGTTTTTGTCGATCAAGATTAAAACGTGCAGCTTGACGTCTCGATGCAGTTTTGCTCCGTTTTTATTTTATCCTGATCGTCTTCATTTCGCAATCGATACAAATCGGAGCAGCGCGACGTAGACACGTGAGATTTCACGGTGACTTGTGCAAATGCGTGGATTGTCTTCCTGGCAACGATTAGAGATTCTAAAACACCGAGGTTTTTTTTAACAGGGTAAGAAATGAAGTAAAACAATCGCCGTTTCTGAGTGAAAGAACTGTTTTCGAAACTGTTCTCGTAGTAATTTTGAAAGATAGATTCAGTGGTACTTTTCGACGTTTTCTACTATTTTTTTTACTAACAGCGATAGTACAGTAGACAGGAAAAAAAAGATGTGTGAACAAGATCAGTGTAATTGAAGTAACATCGTTGAATATTCATTTGAAATTCAGTCTATTAATGAACGAAAAACATTAGATAGTTTCCTCAATAATCTGAATATTTAGTTGAAGCTTAAAACAAAAATCTATAGCAAATACAACTGAGTGAATTATTTAAGTTTGTCGCAGCTCGTGAAACATTCACGTTTAGTTCAAGCGACTTCATAATTTTTAATTCAACAGCGTTTTATTCCCATGTAGATGACAAATTTTGTTCGCTCGACGCGTCTCAACAGGTCTGGAAAGTCTCACGAACTTGCGCGTCTTGTTTATAAATAATTAATTTTATATATACGAAACATCCCTGTCTTAAATTGCAGCATACTTCGTCGGCTCCGATAAATATGTATCACGTACGTAATTAGCGTGACTTTCTCTCGCACGGCTACATTTATTCATCTAGATTGGAAGTTGTACCGAGTAGAAAAAAAAAGAACGTCGTGATTAATTGAGAGATTCTTGAAGCAAATGCGAAAAAATAATTGAAATAGAATAAAATTTATTTCAGCGATAAAAATTTGCATGTTTTTGCATAAATGGCGGAATTATCTTACCTCGTTATCCGATATACAGATCGCGCAATAACTCCAAAGCTTAGCGTGCGCAAAAGCGTCTTTATTCTATCGCATGTGACCTGAAAATTACTGGCGTTTTGACACCTCTTTCGAAACTCGATTTGAAATTAATCGATTCAAGATTAATTTAAAAATGTTCAAGCACAGACGTAGCATTACATTCTATAAGATCCATTTATTTCGCCACCTCTGTTAAATGTTGGAATCGTAGTGAATCCGAAAGAATTTCGAAACAAATTTCAGCGTTGGTTCGGAATTAAAGAATTACCTCGCAGTGATACGTTCGTGCGTCTTGCGTCCGGTAAATCTCTACTTAATTAGAAGCTAGGCCTGTGTTCGTACGATGCTTTATTATCACAACGTACTACCTTATATAAACAGGAAAACTTGTCTGGAACTCGCTAGGCGGGAGAAGAAGGATCGATAGAGCGAGGCAAACATATAATGGATAAGAGGGATGCAGAGAGATAAGAGTTTCCGATCTTTTCCTTTTAGAGGGTTAGGATGCCTCGAAATCTATTTAAAGAACCTGCCGAGATAATATTGTTCCGGCAGAGCCTATTGATTTTTTTCCCCTCTTATTTTGCCGGGCTTCTGAGCAAATTGAATTTTTTTCGACCCGCTTTCCGATCGTTTGGAATTGTTTATTCGTCCATGTGACACGCGTAGTTTATTGTGTCCTCAATTTAATCGGATTATGTATCTCGCTTTATATCCATAATTATATATAATGTCCCTCGGACAACAAAATATTGGAAAGAGAAAAAGATAGGATTGTTACATCTGCGTGTGTATTTACGCAAGCGATTTAAGTTGAGCAGGGTACATGACACAAGGGTAAGAAGGAAGGCAGCGAAAGAGCGAGCAAACGAGAGAGAGAGAGAGAGAGGGGGGGGGGAAAGAGAGCCGCGAGAAGTCTTCAGTATCCAGCATTGAGTTGTAAAAGCGTTCGTTCGCTCTCACCGCCAAGCGGCATGGTCACTTGTGTAAAAGCCGGCTACACGCCGCGTGATGAGTGGACGCTGTTCTATGCGCTTTTTCTTTTTAACTCTCTGGCTTTGCTTTTGCACTCTTACTTGTCGTTGGTTATGTATGCGGGAAGGTTTGGCCCATACGCGTTGTACTTACCTGCATACTTTGGCTCCCTTTCTGCCCGTAGTCTTTTCTTTCTCTCAGCTATCGATATTAACAATTCCACTTCTTTCCACGCGTGCGTTTGTTCGCTCCCATGAGATTAGGGAGCTCTTAAAATGTAGTATGAATTGGCCAAAATGTTACACCATTTCTCAAAGATAGGTCCATGTTTTAATATTAAACTAATTTGGTTTCAACTGACTCAACGGTTAATAGATTCAGGAAAACTCTCGAAGATACTAATTTTTTGATACAAAATAAATATAGCTGAAATAGTCCGTTTGAAAAGCAACTTATTTGTTTAAAATAATTTTTGCGCATTATGCTTAGAAAATTAATTAAATAACAGAAGTAGAAAATCATATAAAATATCTTTATACATTTTTTGCCGTTTTTCAGTAAAGGGTACTTTTTGCTTCTGTGCGTACTCTATAATACTTTCACACTAACGTAAAATTAAGTAAAGATTTCATTATATAGAAGCATTGTTTCATATATAGAAATGTAATTATTGGTATAAAAACAAAAGTACATTTGATGACAATTTGTCATAATCTGCGTACGTTTTCTCCCGAGATTCAGAACATTCGTAAACTGGGTAGACATAATAAAGTCACTTTTCACGTGCGTTATCACCGACGTTTCAATAAATGTGGAATAATACATGCAATTGACCGAGAAGCAGATTATCTATAGTCTATGTGGAGCAGGTCAGCATGTTAGACCGGCGGTTAGTCGTGAGGGAGTCGGAAAGTACGATGACGAGAGAAAGACTGAACCGGTTATGGGCGAGGCCCTTCGATTCCTCGTCTTCTTGTAGCCGATCTTGGGCCCGGAGTAGAAGGAGGTGAAAAAGGAGGAGGTGAAAGGAAGCGGTTGGTAGAAAAGAAGGGTATACCAAGTATGGTGGCAAACGGGATGATGGGGCAACGAGAATCGAGAAAGAGGCGGCCGGCGAGGGGAGAAGAGAAACGCGAAGGGGATGGGATGAGAAATTCTCGTTGGCTTCGCTTCGATGTCTTTATACGCGCGGCTCTTGTATGGCCATGGGACATATATCTGTCTTACGAGAGCGAGGGGCGCCGCCAAAAAATCAGATCGAGTGTAAAAATCGCATAAACTCGTCGTGCAAACTCGAGAGCTATGTCTGCCTGGTTGGTTCCCTCTCGAAGCTTTCTCTCTTTCTGTTCTCTCTCTCTCTCTCTCTCTCTCTCTTTCTCTCGCTCTCTCTCTCTCTCTCTCTTGCCCTCTTCCTTCTCTTTCTTGCACGCTCTTTACCTTAAGCCCGTCTGATCCTTTTCTCTTTCTCTCCAGCCCTTCTCTTTTTCTTCACAACCAGGTCTACAAGCCCGCTCGCATGACTCCACCTCGAGGAAAGGCCGATCACCTCCTATATTTTCTTTTATTCTACTTGTCTGCCAGCACGAAAGTTATGTGGTTAGCCGGGCTTATGAAGAATCCGCTCTTTATCGACAAGTAAAGCGGTCTCCGCCAACGTTTCGTGGAGCGAAAATAATTTTATTGGGGGATACCGATTACCACCTTGATCAACTGTGCACGCGTGAACACTTGACGTTAATAAAGTAGTCGGCATTAATAAGGCAATATTTCAACGTTCGGATTTTATCTCGACCTTAAGACTACCGGTCTCTCGTAACATTTTCGTGCATCTCGTCCCATTGTAAATGTATAATTGAGAAAATTTCTATTTTATTTCTTCCACAAAAAAAAATAGGTTCTCTTTAATCGTTATCTTATTATAGAAAAATTTATATCTTGAAATTATATATTATTTATTATTTTTTTATCCAGTGAAAACTACGTAGCCGTGTAATTAGGTGTATAGATATGTG